ATGTTCGGCGAGCATTGGCACGTCAGATGCTCGCCGCACGATAGTCCGGTTATGGACAACGAGTTGACCGAGCCTCAATTCGGGTGGCCACTGTCCTAGGGTCAGATAGGGACCCGATCAAAACCTTACCCTCTTCACGATAGCTTCAGTCTACAAACACGATAAATCCCATCGGTCGAACGGTAACGAACGAATCTCGGGACAGTCTCCGTCGGATACTCGCGGCGATTCATTTCAAAATCGACGGTTGGCCAAGGAGGTGTGAGGAAATGAATAAAGGGGGCAAGACACACAGATAATTGTGTGGCAGTCAAATTTAGTTGTTGATTGTGGTGGGTAGTGTATTGGGAGGCGTGAGTAGTCAAGCGAGGGTCATCAGCCAGAGGCTCTGGCCCAGAAGGCACCGAATTCACTCTCTGTTGCAGATGAACTCTCATCATGAGAGTATCCCATATCCTCGCTGCTACTTATGCGGAGCAAAGCATCCAGCATTGCAACTTGCAAGTTTCGAAGAGTTTTTCGACAGAACGTCGAGGTTGAGACTTTCGGATCTCACAAGCTTGTAGCAACATATCATGCTTTCGCCTCACTACCCACTACTCCCAAGTAACTAAACGAATGTATGTTATTGGACAACAGATACTTTACTAGAGTACGGTAGAATGTTTAGAGTGAAACAGCGCATATAACTTCTAGATCGTGGAGTATCGGGAATAATGCTATAAAGCAGCTGGCAGATCAGTTTATCATGTCCAGCGCTTTGTAAGCCTCACCGGATCAAACAATTTGTTTGATCCATGCAGCCCTAATAGTAGCTCTTCTTAATAAGAAGTTCTTATCGACGATCATGTCCGAAACTTTCGGACCGAAAGCCTTCCTGGCAGGCAGGAGGTTCCTGCCTGCCGAGTCACCGGGGCCGGGCCGGGGGAGCGGGTTCAAAGGTTGCCGGGCCGGGCTGGGCCAGGCGACTAGAATATCGCCCGGTGCCCGCCGTTATCTTCGAAGCCTTCCTCGACCCCAGGTGATAAGAGTCATAGCCCTCTATCAACCTAGCGTCCTAGTAGTGAAGCTGTTGGCAGCATTTTCTCTCTATTTTCCCACTGACTGGACTCGGTCATTGGTGTGTTAATCACCTACAAGCATCATGGACCATGATTCATGGGTCATGTACTGTACACTGTCAGCTGATACCTAGGTCTTGTCGACAATGTCCCCTCGTCCCATGTGTCCAACTCGTCGTTCTGCAGCCGGAAAAGCTCGCCGTCGAGCTATCCAACGAGCTCATCAACGTGACAAATGGGCACGCCAGACCACATTATCTGAAACCTTGGAGAGCATAGAAGACTCGGGAAGACTATCTACTAACTATAAGTGATGGTACGTCAAAGTTTGACGGTCAAATCCAACCTTCGCGTTCCGAATATAGACAACGAATCGTTGTCAACGATGTTTAGTCTCGAAGCTTTATGCGACTACAGCACTTTTTCCACCGGCCACCCTGCTGCAAGGGGATGCTCTTTTCCGCGCTCCCTTTTGGAGGAGAGGCGACAGCTTCTGAGTACCCGGTAAGTGACGGTCCTACTTGGGCTGACTTTCTCCCACAAGTCATTGCAAGATTCACTGCGACCGGGTACTCGAATTCTGCAAATGGATGGCCTAGCTTCGCAGGTACACGTCAGTGACGCTTTACAGACGCACGGTTCCATCGAAGTCGACGAAAGGGCGAGGTAAGCTTTCAGAAATCCTACAACCGAGCAAGCCGCTCGCTTGCTCAACTCGGTCTGAGTCATATCGTCGTACAAGCAGGTATTTCTACATCTTGATAACATCCTATATGCCCCCAGAGAACAGCCATATGAATGCAAGGAGAGCCGGCCGGTCTCAATGGCTTGCCATCCTCTTCCGCGACCAACGGGCCGTGTAATTTGAATCGAGCTCAGGCACGACGGTCCCGGATAAGTAACAAACTTGACCGTTTATCCTTTTCGCACTGTTCAAACATTCATCCACATCAAGGTGGGCTGGAACCTCGCTTACATCGTGCTATAGATGGACAAACCCGCTGGAGTCGGTTTAAGTACTGTCGAGTCTTGCCGCAAGGCCGTGACAGACCCAACGACTTATGCCGAATACATGTTGGTTCAGCATCATCACTATCAGACATATGACTGTGTCGCTCACAGGCGGAACTCCCCAGGCCGGTGAGTCTCGACAAGCAGCCACTGCAGGGCTGAAACCTTGTGCTCCGAACAGGTTTGGTGGTCCCGAAAACTACCGATTCGGCGGTGCTGGGGTAATTAAATTAACTTAATTTACAAGTATGACAGAGGGAGCAGGAGTCGGGAGTGATTTCTCTGCCCAAAAATGCTAGCATTAACATGTGAGCTTTCCATCAGATTCAGGGCAAAAGATAAACTCATCGGCACGCCATAGCAGGTACGACGTGACAGATGTTTGTTAGAATCGGGTGGCTATTAGCCTTGGCTAATCACTGCCGACCGTATGCTGATATTTATACATATCAGTTTGATACACAACTCGAATCGTGGCGATGTTCAGGTCAGGAAGTTCCTCAACAAGCCGGGAGTTAAGTGAGCGCTACAACCCGAAAGTGCACCCGTCATGGTTGTCGGATCTTTCCGAAAAGCCTTCCGCGTTCAGGTAGACGAGGCTATACGGCGCAGTCCCGGATTCTACGCGGACTCCTATCAAACTCTAGGTCCATTGATGGATAGCAACGCTCTGAAAGTAAAATAGGCTTTACATCATGGATGAACTTGGTTCCATGCATCATCATGGCATACGAGGACAAATTACTCGCTCCCGATTGCCCCTCGAGTTTACCACAGCATATCAATACTGGTCTCTCGGTTATCAGTCAATGGCAACACAACGCCATGCACCCTCGCAAGACTGCAACCACATTCCTCTTTATTGGCGTGGTCTTAGCTTTAATAGTGATTCAGTTTGGTAAACTCAATC